TTCTGAACATCTCCACAAACATGTCCAGATTCGGGCATTGAGGACACTCGACGCTGCTAGTGGCACTTGGCCCCAGAGCAGCATAGAGGTCACATTTAAACCACCAGTTCCTTTCCCTGCTTGAAAAACAAAGTTGCAGCTCGTTCACGGCCACATTTTTCAGGAGTTTGGCTACCACACCAAATGGTGGTGGTGCCAGCCAAAGCAGGCTCGTATCACCTCGTCTTTTCTTGGCACACAGGGGCAATTTAGAGGTGGACCCCACTGCTTTGCAGCAATGCCTTGGAAGATGATTTGCGAGACCCCATCCGCACTGAGCGGCCAAAACGCTCAGAAATGACGTGGCAGACGTTTTCGCCCGTTCCTTGCGGTTCGGCCATCCTGAGGCCATCCTGAGGGGTAGGGGGGGGGGGGCGCACCTCCCTCGGTTCGGCCATCCCATGTGGAAAGGAGAGCCAGGGATTAGGCGAGAACTGAGACAAGCAGCTGTGAAGTTTCTGCATATCAGCGGAAATTTTCCCTATCGGGTAGCCAGCACCAACGGACCTGCTGAAAATTAGTGATGCAGTGGCGTCCGCTGTCGCCGGGGCCTACCATTTGGGCTTGGCAGAATCTTTCCAGGCGCAAAGCTACCGCCAGGTGAGTGTTTGTGCTTGGGTGTGGCCCACCTCTCGCCACACCACTCTCCAAATGTGAAAAAGACAAAAATGTGGCGCGTGCATCTGGTCATGTTCCAGCGGGAAGTTCTTCTCATTTTGCACATTTTGAGAGTGGTGTGGCCCACCTCTTCGGCTGAGTGAGAATAGCTGGTCGGAGTCGCGGGGGTTTAAACCACCAGTTTGTTTCCCAGCAACACGGACCTCTGACACTTTTTTCATGATCAGTAATGAATTTAGCTGGGTGCAGGAAGGCCCTTGCATTCGACAAAAGCCGGCACACCTTGCCCGCGGCCTAAGTGGTGCTTCCAAACAACAGATCCATGATTTGAGGTAGCTGTCGGAAACACTGGCCAACACGCGTCACATTCACAGACAAATTTCCCATAACCGTACCGCCCAATGCGTGGCATGTTCACCCACAATTTTTTTCCAAACACTACCTGGTTGGCCAGATTCTCACTCTCTGGCTGAGACTGTTGATCTTGGTAGCAGTTGCATACAGAGGGTCTTGCTCCACTACTCACCACATTCACAAAAGACAAAAAATGTGGCAGTGTCTCTTCTGTGTTCGAGCAGAAGATTCATTCAGAATCTGTGTTCTAGCAGACAATTCATTCTCATTGCGCACATTTGGTGAGGAGTGGAGGGAGGCCGTTATTAAAGCCAAAAATCTGTTTCTGCCATTTCAAACAAAGGGTCTGGCTCCACTACCCACCATTTTACATGTACGTGAACACAACCTGGGGCCACATACATTTGGATTGATCGAACGTTTTGCAGGACCCAGCTCTCAGATACATTTGGAAAAGTTGTGCAGTGGATACATTTGGAAATGTTGGGTATTCGAGTGAGGCCCAAAGTACCGGGTGTGTGAACAGTCAGAAGTGCCGAGGAGCGCGAGTTGTTTTTTGTTTTTGGAGTCGAGGCCCTACTGTCCACTCCGCATGCCCATCGGCGGGGCAAGTTCCCACCCACCGCCATCGCAGCTGTCCACTCATCATGCCCATCCGCGCGTGGGGCAAGTTCCCACCCACCGCCATCGTAGTCCGATGTTATCAGCACACCGGCGGGTGCATTCGAAGATGCTGACGTGGTGTTTTTACCGCATTGCAGCCATAGGTGTCCATGTTGCACGGGGGAGGACACGTTGCCCACTTCCACACTGCTCAACTCGGTCTGCCTCGCTTTTCGGGACGTGGAATCTCCATAGCGCGCAATCCACAGGCACAAGTAGACGCCCGTCCATCGCCGGGTCAGTTTATGGCAGGGGTGCACTTCGTCAACGCTGGTGCGTGTGGGGCATTTTTGTTTTTTATTTTTCAGTAACTGTACTTATTTTTTCTTCCATCGGGCCAGTACTTCAAGGTCCATCCGAAGTGCTGTGAGCGAACTCTGTAACACTTTTGCTGCCTCCTTCGTCTTGAAAGGCCTGACGTGGAAGTAGAGGCGATGTATTGGGTGTTGTCCCTAATCTGAGAGGTGGTGACTTGTTCCTGGAGGAAGTTGGTGTTTTCCCTTAGCTTCGTCTCCGAGCCGGCCCACGGTGTATGACGCTACTGGGAGGTAGCACACTGCCTTGCACGCGTTCATGATAGCCCACATGGTCGCTGTTGTGGGTTAAAGTTTTCTTTTGATGATGTTGTTTTGTTTTGCTGCGCTGCCTTTTGCAGTTGCTGCATGAGTCCATGTCTCCATAGCTGGGTGTTCCTAGTCCTTCACTTGGCACTTGCACTGTCGGATCCACAACGAATTTTATTTCGGGATTCCATTGGACACGTTGTCGTATCTGGTGAGGCGTAATCGTTCTGCCTGCCCCAGAAGTGATAGATAGTAGGGAAGATTTTTGTTTTTTCGTTTTTTTTTTGGTTTTTTGGCTGCGCTGAAAATGATGCCACAGGAACTTGCGCTCGTGCTGCCCGCAACCATACGATGGCTGAAGTTGAGGGAACAGGTGACCGTAATATCGGCCATGGTGTCCATGCATTCCCTGACGAAGGTCGTCTGCATGCTCAACGACACTGTAGTGCTGCTATTGCTTGCATACGAGGCGTTCGAGGGGGCAGGCAATGTCGTAGGTGTCCCGCCTTTGAGACGCGGACGCCGACTGCGCTGAAAATGACACCACAGGAACTTGCGCTCGTGCTGCCCATAACCACACGTTGGCTGAAGTTGAGGGAACAGGTGACTGTAATATCGGCCATGGTGTTCATGCATTCCCTGACGAACGTCGTCTGCCTGCTCAACAGCACTGTAGTGCTGCTATTGCTTACGAGGCGTTCGAGGGGGCAGGCAATGTCGTAGGTGTCCCGCCTTTGAGACGCAGACGCCAACTGCGCTGAAAATGACACCACAAGAACTTGCGCTCGTGCTGCCCGCAACCATACGTTGGCTGAAGTTGAGAGAACAGGTGACCGTAATATCGGCCATGGTGTTCATGCATTCCCTGACGAACGTCGTCTGCATGCTCAACGACAATGTAGTGCTGCTATTGCTTGCATACGAGGCGTTCGAGGGGGCAGGCAATGTTTTAGGTGTCCCGCCTTTGACATGCGGACGCCGACCGTTGTGGGTGCGCAATCGAATAGGAGAGACTTGGGAGGAGCTCAACATGGAGGGGCCAGGACATGACACGAAGTTTCGCGAGCACACCCGTTTGGCAAGGCCCGTCTTCTACCGTGTTCGGTTGGACGAGAACGCAGATTGCGCGACGTAGGGCCATCAGTCGATCATCCGGACAGCGAGGACGATGATGAGGATCCAAACATTCTCAGGGAGGGGCCTGAACTTTATGCGAGCCATCGGGAACGGACACTTGCATCGCAGGCAATCCGAAAAGCTATACTTCGTCACACTGTCCATGTTGCCCGAGTTTTCCTGCAGGATGCAGATGCAGACTCGGAGTCGGACTAGTGATGGCGGGGACATTTAACACGTCCTCGTCTTTAAAGATGTCCTCTAGTATTTTCTAAATTTGGGAATTTTTTTTTTGTGTGTGTGAACACAAACATGTTGTGGTGGCTCTGGCTCCATATCCATTCTGAGGAGTGTCAGTCTGGTTCGTATTCCACCGGCAAGTCAATTTTTTTTACATTCGGCAGAGTCCGACAGAGTCGTGCTTCGTTCCATGTGGCTGAAGGATCCCTGATCGCCACTGTGAACCATATGTTTCGCAGGATTGACTGTCAGCTTCCCATGCTTCTACCTTTCCTATGAGGTCATACTGGATTGGGACTCACTTTCCAGTATGACCTCTTTGTACTCAGACATGCAATCCACAAGTTCTGCCAGTCTTCCCATCGTATGTGGGAATGCATTATCTTTGCAATTGTTTGTTTCAATTTTTTTTTTTGTACCATTTGTCGCTTTATGCGTGTCTGTGACCAGCGAGAGGCAAGCCAAGCTTCTCTGTGTTGTTCCCTTTTCAACACACGTCCCCAAGCACTGGGATTGTTGTTTTTCGATTTCCTATCACAAACAGAACTGAATGTTGTTGCCAGTTCAGAATCGTGTGTACATCTGCTGGCGGGTAGTGAATGACCTCTGCTAATTGGACGCACACAGACAAGGTCACGAACACAGTCATGCAAAGACAAAAAACAAATACACAAAGCCTTTTTCTTCGATGTACACTTTTTGAGCTCGCAAAAGTTGAAGCGATGGCAGACAGTACCAGGAGAACAAAATGCCACATCAACTTAGAATTTGAACACACTATTATCCAATTAACCAAGCGTATCTATACTCCAGCGAGCGAGCAAACGCCCTCGGCTGACTTGCCTCTGCAATTGCATGTAAAAGCTTTCGCACGTGGGTCAATAGCTCGGTAGGGATACGCCCCTAAGGGTGGTGACAACCCCTTAGGGAAGGTAAGTTGTGCCCCGCGAGAACCTATTCTGTCGTAGGGGACCGCGGGATGTACAGTTGGCGCACTCGGCCGGAGCGGCGAAGGGTCGACGTGGGTTACCATGTCGTCCCCGAGTTGTCTCTAAAAAGTTGAAAGCTTAAGTTTCTCCTACGTGATGCGGCCGGGAGGGCCCTCGCTCGTGCGGGGGCCGATGCGCTCGAAAGGTGGCGCCGTTGCCGGGGGGAGACTGCTCGTCGAACACCGACAGTCCAAAACGCTTCCATGCAAGTCCTACAACAATGAACGAATCCTACACTTTTTGAGCTCAGAAAAGTTTAAGCAATGGCAGACAGTACCAGGATAACAAAATGTTATATCAGCTTAGAATTCGAACACACTATTATCCAAATATTGCTGGTCAGGAACACACCCCGGTGTCTGTAACCGAAAACGTTGCCAGTTGCGATCCAAAAATCGTAATGCCGAAAGCTACGGGCACTACTCCAAAACGTTTATCTTCAAACGACAAATGGCCAAACCATAGGTGACCTGCCTATAGAGACTCGAAACGGATCACATTGTGACTGTCGAGCATATAAAAATAGAAATCAAAGCAAAAGAGATTCAAAACACGTTATTGCTGCAACGAAGACTGCCCATCGAAAACCGACAGTCCAAAACGCTCCCATGCAAGTCCTACAGCAATGAACGAATCCTAACTTAAAAACCAAAACCTTCCACCCCAGCCAACCCCCCCCCCCCCCCCCCCCCCCCGGCCGGTTGACAACACCAGAGCACCGAATGAAATGGGACATCTGCAAAACGATAGTCGCCACCGGATGCGACGCACGAAACTATCTTCACGAGCGCAGAGTGTCGACCTAACCGTAAAAAAAAAAAAAAAAAAAAAAACATTATCCTGTCCGTCGTTACACACTATCCTAAATACAATCCGGCAATTTGCAGAGTGAACGCCACATCATGCATCTGGTTCCACAGCCATTGCCCTCCTTAACTGCTCAGCAACAGCGGTGGCCTGATGACAATTGGCATTGGGAGATAACCCATCGATGGTAGATGGCCTGCAGATCGAAGGGGGCGTGACGACACGTCGGTGGCCATGCCAACGGGGTGCACTCTGAGATGGCACGGCCGATATGGACACGACGAGACTCGCTACTCCTCCATACCATCGAGAGGCAAGGCTATGATCGCCACTCAGGGTACATCCTCGCACCTTTGGCGAATTTTTGTCCTGTCCTTCAACAGTGGTCAGCAGCTGCTGCAGCCGCAACACCTCCTCCCACAATACTTCAATGGTGCGTTCCGCAGCCTCCGCTTTCGAGACCGCCATGACCTCTTTCACATTCTCGTTGTCAATTTCTGCGCGCAACCGCTTCATCTCCTCCACCATCTTCGAAACTCGTTCGAACAGAAGGCCCCGCTTTCTTGCCAGCTCATGGGCTTGTTCTATCAACCTCCTGTGGGTCAGCGCAAAATCCCCAGCCATGTCCACAACGTCCGATATGTTGCCGATGGGATTCGACGACATCTGTGACTTGTGTAGGCACTCATCCGTCACAGATCATGCAACAACGTTAGCAGAGAGAATTTCGTGAGATTCACAAGTCAGAGGAACTGCCTACACAATCGCAGTTCTAAAAATGGACGCTTTCACAAAATACATTTCAAAGAAAGAAAAACGAGAGATAAAACACCGGAATATACTGGACAAACAACAAAACAGCACGCAGACGAAAACAGGCCTCCACAGCTACAACTAATCGGTGACTCCATCGCTACCTCCTATGTCCCTATCACGGTAATAATATGAATGAGGTGCGGGTCGCCGGCCCGTGTCACTGTCATGCTGCGGAGGGAATAGTCACGCCGCCCACCCATTGACCCCGAGAGCATCGTGAAGCATTGTAGGAGTGTGGCATTTCCTTCGACCATTGTCTTGTTAAGCCCGTCCATCGCCTGCACGAAACTGTCGGCAATCTTGTCTGAAGTCCTCTCGTTCGCATCCACCAATGTGTGCGCAACATCCATGAATGAACCTCCTTTGCTGGCACAAGCTGGGGAGTGGGGGTCCTGTTCACGGCTCTTCCCTTGCCCTCCCCCGGTCCTACGGCTTTTTCCTTGCTCTCGGCTGTCACTCACCGCTTTTCTTCGTTGTCCGGCACTGTCACTTCCGCCAGCCGTTTCATCACCATCAGTGACGCCGCTGCGGCTTTTCGACCATTGTCTTGTTAAGCCCGTCCATCGCCTACACGAAACTGCCGGCAATCTTGTCTGAAGTCCTCTCGTTCGGATCCACCAATGTGTGCGCAACATCCGTGAACGAACCTCCCATGCTGGCACAAGCTGGGGAGTGGGGGTCCTGTTCACGGCTCTTCCCTCGCCCTCCCCCGGCCCTGCGGCTTTTTCCTTGCTCTCCGCTGTCACTCCCCGCTTTTCTTCGTTGTCCGGCACTGTCACTTCCGCCAGCCATTTCATCACCATCAGTGACGCCGCTGCGGCTTTTTTCTTGCTCTCTGCTGTCACTCCCCGCTTTTCTTCGCTGTCCGGCACTGTCACTTTCGCCAGACGTTTCATCACCATCAGTGACGCCGCTGGTTTGGCCTCCCACAAGATCTTCCGAGTGAACCAAGGTCTCGCAACTGCCTTCCTGCTTAGCGAGCTTCCACATCAACGCTTCATAGAATTGACGGTCATACTGCAATGGCAGCCCCTCCACCCTGCACTCTGCCCGATCGCAGGTCCAGTACGCCGCTCTACCCGACCGGTCGTTAAAATCCCTTATTTTTTCGTGTTATCAAGGAGGTTGTAAAACCTCCGTTCACAATCCACAATCGAACGTTTAGCGAATCCTTGTGCAACCAGCTGGGCAACGATCCACTCGTACTTCTCCTTCCTTGTTTTCATTTTCTGCCTCCTTCCTCTCTGCTGCTGCAGAGCGTCTTCCTCGAATAGCAACTTCAGGAGCATCATGGTCTCGCCTGTTCCCCAGTTAGGATTGTGCACCTTCCCCTTCCCCGCCGCCTGTCCTCCTCCAACGTCACCACCTACGGTGGATGATGAAGCTCTTTCTCCTGGATGTTGAACGGGGTTATCATCGCTGACGACGTGCGTTTCGTCCTCCGAAACTCGTGCACCACGTCCTCCAGCCTGCGTTCCAGCGATGTCGACAGTGACCGCACTCCAGGCCTCACCCATGCTAGCATCCCTCCTACCACAACTGTCACCATTTCCCGCATTGCATGTAGAATGCTGATACTCTGCGCTAGGAGGTGTCATTGATGATTGTCGTGGCGCCGCTCTTTCGGAGGTGAACTCAGTGGGGGCCTGCTCCATAGCATTGTTCTGCCCCCCCCCCCCCCCCCCCCCCCCCCCCCCCCCCCTCTCCTCCGTGTACCCATACCAGGCGTCAAGCCAGCCGACGACTGCATTCCTTCTGCTCCCATGTGCGTGGTCCCTTCGGCCCTCAGCGTCGAAGAACCGCCACCATACGTAGAGGAGCATGCAATCCACAAGAAGGCATCCCCACTATCTGTTGTGGAGTGGAGGCATTGTCCCTCCCCCAGAAAGCAAACCCCAAAACCCCTCGAAGGAGGCTTTCCGCCGTCCGGCCGCATGTAGTTTGATCCACCTACAGACATGAAGTCATTGCTTTGAGCGGCCGTGGAGTTGTGTGTGGTGCCTGCCTTCGCTGCGTTGTACAGCGGGGCATACTTGTGTGTGAATGTTGGAAGAGGCGGCAGGTCGTACGGCATGCCAGCCATCATACGACCTCCATCTGCCCCTTCGCCAATGGTTTTCTGCTCTTGCCCGGGGATGCAATGATGAAAAGGGTTTGCATGAAAGCTTCCTTGCCTGATGGAGTCTGTAGGCGATGGTGGACGGCGTCCCGACAGCTGCTGCGACTGATCCATACCTTGTAACGTACAGAGTTTGAGTACTGCACGAACGGAGCTTGCAATCCACACACTTTGGTCACCCACGAATCGAAACTTGCAAGCCTCAACTTCGGTATCGGGCGAATCGAAGACTGCAATGCCCCATCCATTGTTTCAAACAGCAACCTGCGTGGGATCGACAGGAGGAACTTGCGTTCCGTGTATAGTGAAAAGGTGTGTTTTTTTCCGTTCGGGATGGCAAGTAAGATTACATAAGTTGATTTTATTCTTTTTCTTCCACGAACACGCGCCTTCAAATGACAGATCTACTGGTGAAGCTAGGTATCTGTCATGCACAGCGCACGCCTCCCACTTCCACAGATTGCTGTGTCGGCAGAGAATGTGAGAGACAAACTACTCCAACTGCATCGGGTGGAAACAGATGAAAAAATTCACGACTTTCGAACAGCAACCCATGCGCCTTCGACACCAAAAACTTGCAACTTGTCTATGGTGCTAGCCTGCGCTTTTATTCCTCTGTGATGGCAATGAAAAAAAAAAACAAAAAAAAAAGTACTAAAAAACAAACACGTTTCTCCCACCATAATCGACCTCCGCAGCGCGCAATCTGTCATGCACACGGCGCCCCTCCCACTTCCACAGCTTGCTGTCTCGACAGTATACTTGAACCGACAACGTACTCGAAAGGGGATCAATAATGTAAAACAGCAAAGAAACAGACTGTACACCTCCTCTCACGTGCGTTCGCGGAATCCGACAGTACGTGAAACCTCCACATGGACAAGATCTTCGGGCTCACACCGATGTGGCCATACGACAAAAACACCCACGTCAACAAGCCACGTCGACACGTCGTTGGAAAGCGCCGTCCCCGGTCCACCCTTTCGACGGTACTGCTACTGCTGCCAACGACAACACGGCATGGCAACGGAGCACCGCGAGGTAACCGTAGCGATGGACATCCGACGTCAAAGACTCCACGTCAGACGAGATGACGAGTGGTGGCAGCATCCCAAACAACAACTACCACGGGTCGACTACTGAAGAAGGCCTACGACCGCTCATGCAAGAAAAACGCAGGAGACCGACCACCTTGTGGTACGTCACGTGCCCCCGGCGCCCGCCCTACCGTCTGCACTAACCCAGAGCGGCCACCAGCTGTGGACTGGGAAAAAGATTCGTTTGCCCTACCGTTCCCATGTCGAGGCCCTCCAGGGAGCATTGCCTGTCGCACACACATATGGACCACGGACATACGGGCTGTTGGACCTAGACATCACAAAAGAAAAAAAAAAAACTTCCTCCATCTTTTGCGTTACAGAGACCGTTTGCGGCTCTTTTCCAAAACGGTCCATTTTCTTGCGGAATGGAATCCGCGCGGGATGCCACGATACCCCAAGCCCAAAAAGCCCTGCGATGGTGCCGGCATCTCCTGCGACCGCGGAAACAAGTCGGATCCCCGTAAAGTCCAAAAAGTACTTGGCCTAAGTACTATGGGATCAGTAGCTTAGGGTCAATGGAACGTGGCTCCAGGTTTGGCAATCCCAGCCTCAGACGAGAGAGAGGTTGGACAAAACTGTCAGAGAGAGAGGTAGGACTTTTCCGGATGACTCTACACGTGTCTGTCCATATGCAGGCACACACACACACACACACACACACACACACACACACACACACACACACACACACACACACACACACACACTCCTCCTGATGAGTCGGTGAAAGTCTGACGAAACAGTCTGGTATAGTCATGCTTTTTTTGAGTGTATAGTGAATATGACAACACACACACACTAGGACTTTTTCGGATGACTCTGCGCATGTCTGTCCATGCACGCACACACACACACACACACA